TTTCTAGTTTTTATATTGCTTAAAAGTTTAGTTTCCTCAAATGATTGGGGTGACCCTTGAGGTGGCCAATTATTAATCTGAGGGCCAAGGCCACCATTGGCCCCCTGACTCCATCAAGGTGGTGGATAAAACTGCCCCCTCCACTCTCCAGGATCTGTCACTCTGTCCTGCTTCAGACAAAAATTTTGAATAAGTATAAAACCCTCTCTGTTCTCTCCACATTGTAACTCCTCCACACTTGAGTATCTTGCTACAAAAAAAAACAAAAAACATTAAGGTTTATTTGGATTCCCTGTTCAATTCTAGTCCAGAAAAAAAACACTCGCCTCCAAATCAACAAACACTTACTATTCAAATCCTTCTGTGATGGGGGACATTTTTCTTAAAAAAAAAACAAAACATAATATCCTAAAATGAACAGACAAATCCACCGTATTTCTGTGTATTTTAAATCCTATACAGATACAGAACAACAATAAAAATGTAATGTATGCCCCCAACATGTTTAATATTATAGTGTATAATATTTAGATGGTATTGTGTTGAATTTATGTAAGCAGAGTGCATCACTCCCAAAGGAAAATGTGATCATTAGTGATCATATTGGATAGTTTGTAGTTTCACCTGCCCTGTAGCTGTTTGTTCTTCATTTTCTTACAAGAAAAAAAAACACACAAAGCCAATTGAATGCTGAGGCAGCCAGAAACGTCAAGAAAAAGCCTCTGTTCACGAAAGGAAGTGTGCTCACTGGCATTTTGACACCCACGCCGATATCGTGTAATGAGATTGCAATGTCCACTCCGGAGCTAACACCTCCTCAAATGAATGAGTGAAACATTGCACCCAACATTTTGATTACCTCCCCTGCTGCCAAGCATTGATGTTGTGGAGCCACCCACTTCCAGCTCCTAACGTGTTTGTGCTCTGATCTGACAATGGTTGTAGCAAAAACAAACACACATCACTTCACTCACTAGCGACACGCACACTTTCAACCCAGGCTGAGGCAGGGAGATAAAGCTATCTAATTATATTCCTAATTTGCAACTCTAATCCATAGAATAGATCCTCCCCAGTCATTACAAGCAGCCTTTTGCAGCCTGTAAGGAATTGATCTGACTATGTGCAGTTAGACATTTGGAGCCAAATGTTAACATACACACATTTTATCTTGGAATCATAAATTATTACACATGCAGTGGGTGTCAATGTCTCACCTGGACAATAACGTGAACTAACTACAGACAACTAGAGCAGGGGAAGAAGTTATTTTTAAAAAATGTCCACAACATTCCGTGTGGAGCTCCAGAAGCATACCAAGACACCATCTGGCAACGTCTCATTAAAATGCTAATTCATTTTAATAAGAGACAGGTAATAAACTGCAATTATGTATCAACAGAGAGAAGGCAGAGAGCAGGAGTTTGAGGAAGTCGGGCGGGGATGTGAGTTGTCTCACTCATCAAGAAGCTGTCTCACTCACCTGAAATGACTAAACCCCCCACCATTCCTAACGCTAATCTTCAGATCATAACACGGTGTTTGAACTGGTTATCTTTGAACTTTTAACCAAAATGAAATAACACCAGGAGGTTTCTTTGTTCTGTTGTTTGTGAAAACCTTACAGTTCTTTTTTTTCCTCTTCTTTGCGAGGAAGTTAAATATTGTTCCATCAAAAGTTTTTGACATTTTATTCTCAAGTGAAAAGTCTCAATAAGATTCACATTAGAAATACCCAAATAAGATGAAAATACTATGAGATGATGATGTGATGAGAGGGTGTGGAGCATAGTATAAAAGGTCAATGATGCTATTTTAGATATGTTCATGCTTAATGTCAGCCAGATTGGCTTTACTGCTTTTTCAGATATTTCACGCTCACATGTCAAATTGGTGGTGAAAATAGAACGAGACGGGTTTAAAAAGTAATAAATCCCAGTTACAATATACAAGCATGTGGTGAATTCAATAATTCTGCAGATTTAGCCCTATTTCAGAAGCTCATTGTGTGAATTCTTATGAAGCGTTCACACTATTGTGATCCATTTTTCTTCCATACTTTTTCGGCACAGTCCTTATCCCACAAATGTTCAGCTATTTTATCAAATCATAAATCAAAACGTTCAGCTCTTTCAGGACAATCCTGTTATGACTTTTGATCTTGGTGCAACTTCAGCTCTTTGAAATATTTAGCCTTTTCTGACACTTTTTTCACATACAAAATACAACATTTTACAGCTTCTTTCACATTTTGTTCTGCTTCATCTTCTTTCAGCTGCCGTGTGAAAATTTAAACATTTTTCAGCTACTTTCAGCAGGTTTTATTTTTCAGCTGTTTTGAGCTCCTTTAAGCGTATTTCTGCTAACTACAACATTTTTGTGCTTTTTCTAACTTTTTTTCTGTCAATTTCACCTTGTTATGCTACTTTTGGCTTATTTATGCAAGTTTCAGCTTTTTCTACTATTTCTGCTATTATTTGGCTGGTTTATGCTAATTTAAGCTTTTCAACAAATTCCACATTTTTTTCACTCATTTCAACGTTTTCCAGCCTAATTCAGAAAAAAAAAGTGCTCTCTCCACTTCCTTTTCATAATTTAAGCTTCTTCATGCTTTTTTTTTTTTTTTTTTACCTACAAAGTACTTACTTTTCAGCGGTTTTTACTAATTTCAGCATTTTTCAGTTTTTTTTAGATAATTTCCATTGTTTCTGCTCATTTGTGCTTCTTTCAGCCTAATTGGGCAAGCATGTGTTCTTTATGCCTTTTTTAATGCTAATTTAAGCCTATTCTACTTTTTCAGCTAACATTTGAGTCTTTTAAGCAAATTTGACCTGTTTTCAGATAAATTCACATTTTTCATGGTAATTTCTGCTACTTTTAGTTAAATTAACTTCTTTACCAAAAAAGTCCACGCTCAATAATCCAGGTATATAATCCAACAATTTTCAGTCAGGTCATCTGGACAGTTTCTTTTTTTTGTTGAAACGTTTCACCTTCTATCCGGAAGGCTTCATCAGTCAAGGAAACACACAACACAAAACTGATTCTTCTCCCAAACAGCTTACTCCAAACTGGAACAAACAACTTATGTTCCACTTTGGAGTAAGCTGTTTGGGGAAGAATCAGTTTTGTGTTGTGTGTTTCTTTGACTGATGAAGCCTTCCGGATAGAAGGTGAGATGTTTCAACAAAAAAAAGAAACTGTCCAGATGACCTGACTGAAAATTGTTGGATTATCTTCTTTATGCTATTTTCAGCTTGATATGCTATTTTCAGACTTTTCAGCTATCTTTACTAAGTTCAGCATGTTTAGCTAGTTTCCTCAATTGTATGCTAATTTCTGCTTATTTAAACCTAGCTCAGCAAATATGTGTTATTTATGCGTTATTCTGCTACTTTAGTCTAGTTCATATCAGCTACATTTCAGCATGTTTTAGCCAATTTCAGCAGTTTTCAGCAAGTTCTTTTGCAATAAGCATTCACTGCATTTTCACAGGAAATGCAATTTCTCTAGTTAGCAGTTGCCTTCAATCTGAGCTGAAAAACTGTTGATCTTCATTTGAAGTTCAAATGGATTTAGACCATGTGCAACATTCATGTTCCAAGGTTTACAAATCTCCCCCCCCCCCCCCCCCCAAAAGAAAGCCTAAACTCATCTGAATGCTGTAACTGGGTCGTGTGTGACGTCTTCACATTAGCACTGTCATCTGGAGTGGGGCAGACTTCCGAGCAGATGGTGAGAAGTCCAGCCGTTTAGAGCGAGCGGGCCAGATGGAACAAAGCTCAGCACACAGCGGTCTGGAGCAGAAATACATTCCAAAGACTCTGATGGAACAAAGGCTTCAGGTGCACATGAATGCTGCTGCTAATTCAGATAGTCAGGGAGATTAGTGATCTGTCATCTTCACCAGTCCAGTGGAGCAGGGACGCCTTCAGAACATTCCCAAAAAGTGGGTCGGATGGATCTATAGGTGTTCCTGGGGTGCTAGACCAAAACCTAAATTTAAAACTGGTTTCAGGAGGTTTATTATGCTGGTGTCATAAAGTAAGAGAATCACCTCCTGATAAAGGCCTACATGAGTTTCTTCATTTACTAAGTAAAGAACAGCAGAGTCACATTTCTATATATTCAAGTTTGTCCTTGATCCTGAGCTCGTATTCATCACTGCTCGTCGAGGGTTTGAAGTCTTGAGTCCACACCTCCTCTTTACTGAACGAGCAGGTTGGCGGTTTTAAACTTTATACAATTACTGATACTTAGAATACACAGCAAGGACAAAACCATAAATTGAATGTATGACATCATTTAGTTGCCTAATTACTAAAATATTTTCTGGTGCATACTGATTGTGGCAAGACATTGCTACGAGTAGGTCCCCTCCTCCACAAGGGGCATTTTTCATTTTGTTTGTCCATTGTGCTGTAGAGAACAATGTTTATGAGATACTTTATGAGCCATAAATCAACGACGTCTTCCCCACAGTCAGGTCCAGATTGCCCCCTGTCCTGAGATCAGTCCGGGTCTGTGTGAGATGAAACGGCGCTCACAGAAGAGGTGTAGTTCTCAGTAAAGCAGCTGTTGTCCTGAATGATTAAACACTTGAGCCGTCGCTGTCTGAATCTGAAGAGAGTGGAAACTGTACCAACAAAAACTCAGCGGAGCTGAATTATCACGAGCTGAAACAGAAAATTACTCTAAAAGCTCATGTTTGTCATTTCATTCTGCTTTTATTTCAGGGCCACCAACTATATCCAGCACTCAGACGCAGCAGGCTTTACACGGAGAGAAAGGACAAATCAAGTGTTTCATTCGAAGTACACCACCACCAGACCGCATTGTGAGTCCGTTTTATGTCTCTTATCCCAGTTTTCTCTCAAATATGTCTATTTTATTCAAGCGCCTTTTAAAGTTCACAAAGGTGTTTAAACACGTAAATAGTTTGCATTTCTTTTTTGCATTGGTGCCTGAAATATATCTTTACTTTGCTCATCTTTTTTAATCAGTTCACAGTTTATAGTAATGTTTATATTGTTAGATTTAAATTGAACTACATTATTTAGAATACATACAATTCAACTTTAGTTTTAGATTTGTTACTGGCCCATAATTCAGGTTATAAAATGCATTTTTTTATGGATGTCCTGCAAAAACAAGCAGGGAAGCTTTCACCCATTGATATGAAAGACAGGCAGTATGTGTCTGTGTTTGTCTGTATATTATCAAAATATCTCATGAACTTCTTGTTACATTGTAATGAAACTCAGAAACAAATCATTTAAGAAAGGAATCAGCAGATGTACAGCACATCTACTAATCATCTGTTGGAGTCAGTTGAATTTAAGATGGTCACCACAGCTAAATAACCAAAGACAATGGCCTAAACTCTTGGCCTAAAACATTTGATTGTTGTACATGATGATTGGTTGTTTTGGACGGGTGTGCCCTGTTTGCACATGCTAAAAGTCTGTTTCTGAGATTCCAACAAGAGGTTGATTTGAAGCACAGCAGTGAAGGCTACCTATGGGACAGATCTGTTTGGCCGGTCATAGACTGAGGAAGTCCTCTGGATGGGTGACGAAACGTTTCTCACTTAAAGAAACTGGTCCAGACGACACAATTTAACCTTTTTTTGTTATTAACCTAAGATATTATATATTTATAAATAGTATATTATCAAACCTCAGTCATTTTTGCAGATATTAATTACAGATGATGAGCTAAAACATGTTTTGGTAGTAGCTGAGCATCATGTCCAACTGACACTTTGAGCTTTAACTGATCCTACAAGATTATATATATATATATATATATATA